ATATCAAACAAAGTGATAGTTTTAATTAACTTGAACTTCATGTCGTAACCCCAAATTATAGCCTATTCCGTTTCTTATGATAACATCCGTTACTTCGATAAAGACCGAACGAATACACGTGGCGGAGGGAAAAAGTCACGATGGGGTCAAGTGCCATTTCGTATGATGAAAAAAAAAGAGTACAAGAGGGGCGATAGGAGCGGACAGCCTGGGCTAGGCTCACCGATTGTTCAACTTACTCATCGCTGTCAATCCAATATCGCTGGAATGGAAACGGGCACGATCGGGTTCGCACGACCCCGGCCGTCGACGAGGCCGAACCTTTGATTTGAAGAACTTTAATCCGACGAGGGTCCACGCACGGCATTCTCGAGCAGGATCACGTAATCTCGTTTACGGCGTATTATTCGATCGATGCCCGATTGTGCCCGTGGAAGGTAAACGTCGCTATCAGCTGACCCGCCGGCCGTATGCCTCAATTAAAAGCGAGAGAGACCTTCTGGAATCCCGATTACTGCAGCCCATTATAGAATAGCGCTTATCGGGGACTCCTGAGGATTCGCTTTGTCGATACTACTGCAGTAATCGGCGTTACTGCGTAACGAGGAATACAGGATATTCTTTTTTGAAGCTGTTAGAGTCTGTAGCTTAATGGGATGATAAAGAAAGGATTTATGTGCGAATGCTTTTATAATGAGCAATTAAAATGCAACAGTGCGTTTGGAGTATTGAAACTATTAGAGTTCAGGATATAATCAAGTAAATCAAGTAGGAGATTAAATTTGTTTAATAAGATCAATCATGTATATTAGGGAGACAGGAAGAGTACGTGTTACATAAAACCGATATTACATAAAACATTCAATTTTTCGATGCATTTTTTTACCTCGCCTACACATTCTTAAAAATTATTGAAAGATTAAAAATTGCGCAATGGGATCGTTCGAAAATTTAGGGGATTCCGAAAATACCGTTCACTCGAGGGGATGCCAATCCGATTTTATTAAACCTCGGTGTTTGATGCAAGCGGGGAGAATCCCAAACTGCGAGTTAAAAAGCGTTTACCGGCAATTCTCTGTGACGATACGATCGGCATTTCCGATTCCCTTCGCAAGTCAGCGGAAGAACGCAGTCTTTCGTGTATCGAGCAAATGGAATGAAACGAGCGGATTGAAATGGGATCGCGCCAAATTGTGGTATTATTGCAGATATTACTGTAGCTCGCTGGACTCGCGATTGAGAGAAAAAAAGTCGCTTTTTCGCGGCGCTCTCCGCGCTTTTTCGCGGCAGTGTAATGATACTTCTACGGAGAAACCTCTGCAATATTTTAGAGAACCCTCATCATAACGCTGACTCATCGACTGTACTTTTGAGGCTTGTTTCAAATTCTGACGGAAATAACAGGCATGAGCGCCGATTTCTTATACGTCAGTACTTGGCGAATTAATTATGTCGATGAATTCTCGCAGGCTTGAATTGAGCGTCCTTCGTGAAGATTTTCGCAGCGCAACTAAATTTGTTTCCCATCGAAATGATCTCATTTCGAAGCATTTCAGAAGAAGAATTTATCTATATTGTATTGGGTCAGTTATTTATAGAAGCTTCTTAATTCTGGGTCATTTGCAACATTTATGACAACTAATTTAGCTTTCTTATTCGTTGAAGATGGTGAATCATTTTCTTTTAAAATGCAATATGGCATTTTTTCTCCATTTTATGAATATGTAATGAAATTAAAGTAAACTTTCAATCGTAATAAATAAGAAATAGTACTTTATTTAATTCTTTGTTAATTCTAAATTTTTTACAATGATTGCATATTTCCTTGTTGTAAAAAATTGAATTTAGTCTAAGCTTAAAGAATGTATATTTGTTAACTGATTAACAAATGTTCATTACAAATAAATTAATAAGTTATTTTCCGTATATTATCAGGAAAGAATAATTTTGCTTATATGCTGCATATTTTTGCTTCTCTCTTCTATAATAAAAAATTATAAATGATGTAATAATCTCATTCTAAAAAACTGCAAGTGCAATTCTAGTTTCTATCGTTATTGTCACAATAGCGTGGTAGAAAAAAAAATAAAAAATCATATTAAGGGTTAAATGACCTCAATTATACGGTCCATAGAGTTGTGCATTCGCGTTCAATCCGCGCATCACAGCTTTGTAACGATCAAAATACAGTTTCCAGAAAGAAGATTATCCCTCAGTTCGATGCACGAGCGATGACACGGACGACACCCGGTTTACGATCCATCGATAGGCTTCCTCTGTGCAAAGGAACGTCAGTGAAAACGGGCGTGAAAGGGGTGTAAGGATCGACGGGTACATCTACCCTCTCAGGGTTGCGTCTGACGTTGATGACGGCCTTGAAGAGCCTAAACACTCAGTTAATCATGTAATGGCGCGTGACGCGTATACGAAATATGCTGTACCCCAACTCCGGAAAATGTATGTGCCATCACTTTTCTACGAAATTCAGCGGGATACCACATTAAATTCAAGGGTATCCCCTTTGGATATTAAAGGGACACCCTCGGGAGACAAAACTGATCTTCGACGAAATCGCAAGAATGTTATGCTCCGTAACGGATGAGACATCGCATATTGTTGAAACTCCAACTACAATAATCTACGACACTTGTGCCATGGCTTCTATCGCACGAATTTCGATTGTATAATATAATTGTTGGAATATGTAAGAGAATTACCCTCCCGATCACAACCCGAACAAAAGCGAGAGAATGCAAAATCATTCATTCTTTTATATAACGATTCCTATCTTATTCTTTTCTCCTTCCTCTCTTATTACAGAACTTTGTGCTATTACAAAACTTTTTCTTCTATTCTTCAACATCAGTTCATCTATCAGTCTATTTTTCTTGGAAGTCCGGCTCTCTCTCCAACGTCTAATAGTTTGTAGGGTGTTTTCGTTTTAGCCCATTTAGCTATCCTGTCACTCATTCTATCGGCATAGTCTCTCCACTGTTGCCGTCTTTCTCGAACCTATCACACTACATCCTGGACTCCGGATTATTCCCTTACGAATAAATTTGCTACGCGATCTCGTAAGCTAGTGCCTAATTTAAACGTAATGTTCTCATCTTTGTTCTTCTGAGCATTGATTTTATTCTTGTTGTCTCTGCTCTCGTTTTAGCCGCATATGTTGATATATGGCTCGAACGCACGCTTTATAAACCCGTATTTTCCTCTCAGCCCTCATGTATCTATTCCTCCATATCACGTCCCATAGCAATCAGATACCGCTGCTGCCCTATATATTTGCTCTCGGACTTCTTACACTATATTTCTATCGCTGCTTGTCATGACTCCCAAGTAGTAAAAGGCTATTACCTGTCCAATCGGTCAGTCTGATATATTTATCCGGAATATAACTTTGGCTTTTATCTTTTTGGTAGAGATTTTTACAGGTTGTACTTATCCTTTTTAAATAAAAAAAAAATAAGATAGATACTAAGTATATCCCGTTCTAAGTTAACTAAATGAAACTAAATTTTGCTCAATTACAAAATATTTAGTATAAAAAATTACGAAATTGTAAAGAGATGCGATGTTCAATCAAATTATCAAGAAGAAAAAATCATAAAATCTACAGATGAAATGTTTCAAATACATAAAACGTGTATTAAATTGCACTAAATAATTATCTAAATAGTTTTCATAAGAATTTTACGTTGTATTTATAAAGTAGATTAATAAACTAATCCTGGATTAGATATTACGTTGTCTTTCTTTATGGAACTAACTGAATTTGCTTGACATGTACCTATAAAATACGTTTCTATGAAGTTATCTATCAAGTTTCATATATTGCATGTAATCTTCGTCATAACTTTACTTAAATAAATTGTTTATAAGATTACGTGAAGAGTGAGCAACTCTTGTAGATGTTAGCGCAAACATATGTATATTGCAGATAAAAGAATAAATAAATAAATATTCTTGTCTAAAAAGCAAGGTAAACGGTTTTTCTTTTTTAGTTTGTTCTTGAGTATCTTTTTACCCTCCTCTAGCATTAAGGTATCAAATATAATATTTGCTATTAATCTTGTAACATAAGTGATGTAAATAATATAAGTCAATGTTTAATACATTGATACTTTAACCTGTTCGATTTCCGCAAAACATTAATCAGTCTGAGTATTGGTTTAATCAATTTCAATAATATTGGGGTATCATTTATCAAGGTAACCCCCTTAATCAGGTCAAAGGATTTGTTAATTCAGAGAATCACAACCCATAATGTCATTCCTATCACATTTCATATACTTATGGAAAGTTTTATAGTAACCGTGCGAGCAACCGTGCTACGTGATCGACATGTAATGAAATAAATAAAAAAGAATGAATACATTTCAATAATTATAAGTCTTATTTTTACCGTTAAGCAATTATATCTGGAATAAAGCCCTTTTTCAGAATTATGTTAATGTAAAGTTCGATTACAAATCTTTTAGTTAAATGTTTATTGCAGAACTTGCAAATTCAATTTTAAATTTCATAAATATATTTTCAAGTGTCTCCACACACAAAATGAAAGAGATAGAATATATCATACATTTATAGTAGCAACATTACTCTCGTCTATTTATGAAAAAAGTGTTTAAAATTACCAAGATTTTTCGATAACAAAGTAAAGCTCTTTATATTTAATTGAATCGTTGGCAATATGATTTAATTAGAAAATCATACATGGAAACCAAAAAATACAAAGCGCTCTCTTTGTTCTTATTTTTATATTTTTTATTTTCTGTTACATATGATGACATTTTCTAAATCGTATTGCCAACAATCTAATTTCTAAATAGATCTTTAATTTCCAATTAAATGGTATTGCTAACAATGTCACGGTCTCGTTTATCGAGCGCGAAGTTGTTAATCGTCCAGCGTCGTAAGTTCGCTCAACGTTTTTCTACAGCATGCAGCATTCCGTCGAGTCATAAAACATTGCAGCGTTAACGACGGCTACGTACCTTATAAACATGTATATACCCGTGGGCTCCAATGCCCTAGAGACCGCTTTCCAGCTGGCGATAACCGTAAATTTTTGCCTAGCCGTGAGCGGAAGCCGAGGATCCGTGGCGGCCGGCGGCGGCGGCGGCGGCGACGAGCCATCGTTTCCGGCTTGATTGCGCGATTTCGTGCCGGCCAGTTTACTAAGTTCGCAGCCCATGTTGCGACGGCGAGTCTCAGACGCGACCCCCCAAGTCGCGGAAGACACTAACCGAGGCAACTCACAACGGGGGATGATCACCACCACGCGCCACAAAACTCGTAGATCGCGCGGCAGCACCCCGCGTTCGATTTTGGTATCGCTTCCACTCCCTGCCACTTCCGTCGTAGTTCCCGCCGCATCGACGAGAACGAGAGATTGCACTACACTATGAGAACAAAGATATACGTTTACGTTGACGAGTCGTTGGGGATCGATGATGATACGACGACGAAGACTAAACCCTGCTTTTTTTTCAAATCATGAATCGGCAGTAAAAATACGTTCCGGACAAATAGTGTGTTATCCTAATAAGTCTCTTCTTAAGTCCCCTTTCTGAGATCCTTCCGCTGTCCTATATTCCTGAACACAATACACGTGGTCAAATTCAAGAAATTTACGATAGAGTCTGTCGCGTTTTTGTCAAACCGTCGATGCGATCGTCAAGAACGGATGATCGGGGCGGCTTATCACTCGCGCGGACACTTCGTGGCCGATGCGATTCGCGTTTCATGTATCCCTTCGACGTGCCGCACGATCTCGACAGAAGCACGTGCGTTTTAAAGTGAATCGGCCGTTCCGAAGCTGCTCACCCGCGAACGATCGTTCGCCATCGTTCGCGGCACGATGATAAGCGAGGTAAGCTTCGCTGAAGTTTCTCCTCTTCTCCCGATGTACTCGTGGCGTGGGCATATATTTATCGTTTCTTAGTGAGAACACGCGACGATTCCACATTAATCCATCTCCTCCTCCTATTCATCTCCGGTTCGAATGCACCATTCCTTTTGCGGTTATCCTTCACTTAAGCCCCGCGTATCCTTCCCGCTCCTTTTGGCCTCGCGAAGTTTTCCGCTCGGTGAGTTCATTTATCTAGCTTCTCCTTTCGCCCACTTTCCCTTCAACATCAATCTCACCTCTGCCAAATATCTTTCTTTTTCCTTCTCACCAAGATTTCTGCACTTTACCGCTTCCGGTCCTAAATCTTCCACCATCGATTTTTCCACTTTTAGCGCTCTATACATCAACTCGCGTTTTCTTTATTTTCTCTAAGGATACCTGTGTATATAATTGTTTTCTTCTAGCAATTTTTTCTAATTTTCTTTATCTACGTCTCTCCTTTTCCTTTTCTTTTATACTCTTTGTTTCCAACGTATAACATAGCCTCGTCTTCTCGTCTCACTGATGTCTATCTGTTTGCTACTAAGTTTTCTTTATTTTTTTTTGTTCCATGTTAACAAGTTTCCATTTCACCTTTTAATTAGTCGCCTTTTGCCTTCCTTGTCGACTCCCTATCCTTTGTTCTTCTTTTCTTCTCACTTTCTCCTGTCCTTTCCTTAAGACCCGTATATATTCATTAAGCGTACAAATGATGTCTTTTCATTGTTTCATAACAATAAATCCACTTTCTTGTTAGGCTCGTTAACTTCAAATTTTAATACGACGTATCTTCATGTACCTGCCATTTCTACGCGGTTTGTGTCCCTTCAATTATTCGAGACCTTTATCAAACCCGTACAATTCACTTCACTTGCTTCACAAAGTTTACGAGTATGCATATAGTCATGGTTCCTTAAACGTTTTCAGATTTCTCGATCTCCGGAACATTAGCTGCAAGTATACGACCGTGATGGTATTTTTCATATTTATCGAGCGGAACGATTGATCGATCTCATTTATGGCGAACACTGGCGCGACAGCGAGTGACAGATCGGGAGGAAATCGAAGACGCGCGAAACGATCTAGGATGTCGGGGAGTCGACACTCGATATATGAAGTGGCAAATGAAGCTCTCGGGCAGCCGCTTCGTACAGATGAACATGCTAGATATAAGAATAATCTTGTATTGGAAAGCACGGAATATCTATTTGGGTCTCGAACTTTGCTGATTTGTGCTCCGATACTGTATCTATATCGATATCCAATTTCTAATATATTTCAATATATTTCAAATTTAGAAATATTTCTTATTGTGTGACAGACACAGAATTTTATAATGGTGTGTGTTTTTGTATAGAGTGCTGTGGTGATTTTTTTCAAAAGTATATGTGTAGCATGTACGAGAATAATGGTTAAATTTTATTTGTAGTTTTATCTGTTATTAATTAAATAATTCAAAAAATTATTGAAATTCTCTGTAGTAAAAGCGAAGTAATGTCTTTAATCGTCTTTAGAGAAGATGTTTCAGGGAAGAGGAAAGTCTGCGTACTTTTAATGCATTCACTCGAATTCTATTCGTAAAAATAATACCGGACACTGCCCCATTTCACTTTTTAACTCGTATTTTCTTCGCGAAAGAACGATATCAGTTCAATCGTTGGAAAACTTTCGAAGTTTCATCGTCAGCGCGACAATGTCGAACGGTATGGCACTTCAATTAGCGTAATGGCGGTATCAAATTGGATCGGCTGCGGAGCAAAGGGACAAAGGAGAAATCTTAGCCGGCAAATCTCGCGGGGTTGGAGCGCCTTCGAGCGGAAGGAACCAAAGAATCGAAAGCGGCGAGGCGGAATTCCGGTGACATTGACGGAGGAGTTTTGAGGGATCCGTCCGGGAGGGTGGCGTCAAACTCATCACCGTCATTGCTCCCCGTTTGACAGCGAATTTGGGAAACGTGTCAAAGAAATGTGCAGAGCGAGTGATAGCGGGCGAGATACAAAGCGGGAGAGCGGCAATAAGTAGATGAAAGCGTTATAAGGCAGCCGGGCGTGACTCCGGAAAGGAGAGACCACCCCCGCTCGTCGGTCCCGTTGGGGCTATACACCGGCAAACTTTACGTTCGAGTTGTCGCCGTGAAACGTCAAGCGTATCTCAACGTTGATAAGTATTACCGGTAAAGTTGAGTGGAGGCACGTAAGAAGCGCGCATTGGGTATAACGCGGATAACTTAGATGGCTTTCGCGAAGTTTCCGATGCAAAAAGTGTAAGTAGTGTAAGGTCTCGCTAAAGCGAAAGTCCGTCGCGAGAGCGGTATGATGCCAGTAAATGTCGGCCCTTATTGCCCGACTTTTACAACCATATGCCAGCTAAAAGTATTTACTATCTAGCTCGTTCGCGTGTAACTCTTTCGATTCAGATTTTACGGGAAAGTTTTGATTATTTACACGACTGTTAAAACGTAAATGTATAATTTGATTACTGTATGCATTTGCAATTTTTTCAAATAAACATTTCTTTGAATTGAATAATATGTATATCTTCTATGGTCTAAAAATATTCGTTCGTTTATATTCTATGAAGAATGACGTCAGCTGGCGTCAAATTTGATCTAATTTTGTCAACGTCAGTAATAGTGATATTATGATAACACAAGGCTAAACACACATGAAGACCGCGTTTACTATATCGTCGATACGTATCAGATGGAGCTATATTTAGTGATAAATGCGTGGTGGAAGTACGTATGGATTTTCGCATTTGTGGAAAAATCTCAGAATGACTGAATGAAATCGACGTGCGATTTATTTATTAAAGATGTTATGCCACAATTCCTTTGCGAGAAACGGTAGAGCGCAATAAAGAAAGCGGCACGTTGGCACGATAAGCGTTATCGCTATACAGTTTATCGACGCAACATTGGGAAAATGAAACTCAGGGGAATTATATTGACGGACGAATAGAATCGTTACAAATCCGAAATTGACCCAATCATGCGGCAACAATACTTTGTCGTTAATATTTCAACGTATTCTTTGCGCAGAAACTCGAAAGCATTCGAATATTTTTACTATATTTTAAATCTTCATCGTTTGCTAATCCGGAATAATGTTCTTCATCAAAGTTTAGATCAAGTAGACGATAAATTAGATATTTTGTCTTAAAAGGTATACGCGTCAGACAGCATTACATCTAAATATCTGGTGTATTAGACTCCTGACCTTTCTTTTATCTATGGACTCTTCGATAGGGAGAGAATCGATTGTTTCTATTTCATTGAACATCATCTTTTTCCGCAATCTTTTAACATTGGAGTTAATTATTAAATATATCTTTCTCTTAATTTCTATTTATATGAATCTTATAAATTATTGCGTAAAAGTTTTTAATAATTAATTTAATAATAATTTATCAACCATTTGATGTGTTTCTTAAAATAAAGATCGAATTAGTCAAAGAATCTATAGACACAAGAGAAATGTGCAATGGACAAAGGAATGGACAAATACCGTGTAATTACGTATATTATGTTTTCGTGCCGCGTATATTAACGCAGGTATTAACGCGAAATATTAACAATATAATAATTCCACCCGTGTATGCTTTTAAATCAAATTACATGATTTACACAAATAAACCGCAGCCGTCGTGTATAACCTGATTGCTATCAAGTAAACATCCGTCAAATTACTCGCAATACGTTTCGGAAAAAGCGCCGTATCGTGCGCGTTGATTTCGCGAATGCTGCCTCGTTTGACTAAACGCCAACGTTTGAGAAATACCACTCGATTCCGTTCAGCCTTGAACGCATTTATACCGAGAAATCAAAAGACGAACAAATAAACACGCCAGGAAGCTAAACAGCTTACGGGGAGAAAATCGCTTCGCGTTCCCCGAATAGCTGCGAATTCCCGTCACGCGGTCCCAACGATGCGACAGCACGCTGTCGCGATATATCACTGAACTTGCGTCTCTATCAATTTCCGTTGCGGGACAACGTTATCTATATTCCGACATTCCCGAGTTCCGTTCAGTACGTTTCGAGGATCAGCGACTGGGATCGCGAGAATGATTTGCTGAGCGGCCAGAAAAGCGAGAATAACGCGGTGAGAAGATGTCCGACTCTCGCAGATCTCGCTTATCTAAATCGCGATTATTGGACGACGATTCTCCAGACAACACGCATGTCCCAAATTATGGAATGTCTCAAGAGTCTTGAAGACGTCTCTAAGACATCACATATGTCTCGATTTGGGACATTGTGTTTACTGGGAAGCGAATCGCCGCGCGAGCATCGAGCGGCGGATCGAGTGGGTCTCCCTCAGTCACTTCTACTCCACTCGCGTGTCGCCTCGCGCGCGATCGATTCGCGCGTCTGCATCATCCGCATTTCCTCACGCGACACGTAACACGTAACACCGCGCGTACGCGATACTGGAGATCCGCGCGATCCCAAGACGCGGCCCCCAAGTCGTCTACGTCGAGAAACCCTTATTTAACGTGTCCTCGATCGTCGCGTTCGCCTCCGATACCTCCTCATCGTCGTCGCACGGTGGAAGCGCGGCGTCGTCGCCGCGACGTCGCGCGGAGAGACGCGCTTCTCGTCGTGGTAGCGCGGCGCGAAGCGCATCCGGCGGCGCGCGCGCTTTTGCTATCTTTAGAACGTCCCCGGGGCTCCCCGGATACTTGGCGCGATACTTCGACGTCGGCCGTGTTGCCTACTGCCCAGGCGAGCCGAGACTGAGGCCTCCATAACAAGCGCACCCGAGAACGACGCGCAGGCGCGCTCGTGGCCCGCGCGCTCCTCCGCTTCCGTTCTCCTCTTGTCACTCTCGGTCTCTGCTCTCCTTCTCTCTCCTCTTTCTCTCTCTCTTTCTCTCGCTCGTTTTCCCTCCCTCTCTCTCCTCATCGACAATTAATCAGCCACTTTCCACTTTTCTGTGCGCGATGTCGCGATGCTTTGACCGCTTTTCAGCCACCGAACGAGAAAGCTTCATCTCTTCACCCTCGATGGTAAATGGTGGTCTCTCGCATTTTCGGATTAATGAGTTGCTCGTAACAATTAGGGATTCTTTCCGTAAATATCTGTTTAATCGATAAAATGTTGATCGATAATAAATGTATTTTAGTCAGATGAATCATCAATTTTTAGTTTGACTTATACAACCCCAGAGGGGAAAATAATTCCTTAACCGTTTTATGTAATATAGGTTTTTAACAGGCTAGATAAGAGATTAAACAACTATATGTTCTCCATATAACTTTAGAATATCTGTACATGTGTAATATTTAAACAAGAAAAAAAAACATTTACCCAACCCAATTTAGATCAAACTTACGAATAAGAAGACAGATGTCTTTTTATTGCCGAGAAAAAAATTATTGTTATGATTTTTTAAATATATATTTCTAAACAATATATTTCTAAAATATTCTGCAGAAATTCTTGATGATGCGCGGAAGCTTAAATTTTATTAGTCGCGTATCGATTCAGCCTTGCAATTCTAGGTCAAATATTAGAAATTACGAGTATTCGTGGGATTTTAACTCATAATCTCTCGTATTTACGGAATCACGGGAGAAAATAAGCATAAATATCATTTTCGTGTGTATACAACCTCGGACTCGCGAATTCGTTTTAAACATAAATTGTAGGAATTCAAATCCTTGTATAAATGTAACATGAATTTTCATACGTGAAATATAATTCCGCATAAAACGCACCGGCATAATCTTCAAAAAGAGTATGAATATTTTGCCGCGGCTATTTCAGAGACGTAACATGATGTGTATACCAACCGTGACGTTTGGAGTGGCGCGAAAATTAATATATATTTTTTTTTCATATAATATACGACGATGAGCGTCGCGGGGATTCAAGCTTGAATAAACGTGGCCGCTTTTAAGCACACACACCTCGTACTTGATTCAACAATTTTATTATCATCCGGAGATACTCTTCGGATCTGTCTATACTTATCTATCTTCGCGGTATTATAAGTTTAATCTATTAGTTTAATCCAGAATCCGACTGCATCTATATATAATATTCTCACCTTCGTCTACGTGTTTACGAATATCGATCAGGTACCTGGTGGTATTATCGCGTATATACGCGCACACACTCGGGAGACATTTTCACAGATGTGTCACGAGAGAGAACGCGGTTCGCAAGCATTAAATTGCATTAACGTAACCGTTACGTTTTGAGCGGACTAGTTCGGAATCATCACTTCATAAACTTTACTTTAAACGTGACAGGATTGTCATTGGTAGTTACCGCAGACATGGAAGTTCCTAACAGACTTGTAATCGCAGACTGCTTCCCGGGATTAACATGTGGGATCAATATACGCGAACACGAGATGATATTGTCAACATCATTCTGCAGCTAATAATCTTATTTGTATAGTACAGTACTCGTACAGTTCTGTACGAGAAAGCAGCGTGAACTAATCTGAATTAACTGTATAATCTCGTATTTTATACACGATATGTGTATCGAGTCGGACAAAAAGTCTTCTTGCTTTTTTTCCCCTCTGAATAGTCGTAAGTTCTTGGATTTCCCTTCCTTATTAAGAAGAAAGCTTACAAGACTTCAGCAAAATTGCAGTATGACCGTCCTCGGAAGAACCATCGAGCTTGACCTTTTGAAAAGCGCTTTGGGAATCACGAATGCCTCGAAGAGCAGATTTTCCTCTAACACGTATTCCCGAGTAACTCATCGTCGGCTAAGTAGAAACTTTTGTCCGTCTGCAAAGTGCTCGCTAAAAAAAGCAAAGCCCGGAAAACCCTACCTGTCGGATACTGCAAATGAACTTCGAATTATAAGCCGACGTGGAAAGTTGCTCGAAATTTCCAAGCTTGTCGGGATCGTTTACAACGCAACTTCGCCGACCCAAATCCATCAGTCTGAACAAAACTTTGCAAGTGTACAAAATGATTTCAGATATGAATAATGTTTCACTTCACTCGTGACTCATCAAAGTTTACATGTGAGTTAGGCGAATTATAGATTCTTACTTTATAAGAGGTCTTAGATTATTTTCGAAATCGCGTGATATAATGCGAGGAAGAACTACAATTCTCACTCCTTCAGATAATATTCATTAAAGTTTTTAAATAGCACGACTCATAAGTAAAAAAAAATTTTGCATCTAAAAACTGTTTAATTACATGAAAAGTAAGAAATAACGCTTACAAGTTTAAAACAATAAGACAAATACCGTAGAATTGCATAACTTAATATTAATTTCGTGTAATTTCAGATTCTTTTTCGCATTTTTCACGCCTCGCGTAGCACATCGTATTCATTATTATATAATTTATTAAATTTAATTAATCAAACCTAATACATGATACATCCGTACAAATTTAGAAAATAAATACGTATAAAGCACAAGATAAGCTGTTAAAAATATATCGTGAATGTAATCCTCCAACGTATAGCTTCCGCAGCGTTACCGGGGATCCAACTGTCGAGCCCTTGAATTTAATCCCAAGCTAGAAGGGTCAAACAAAGAAGGGAAGGAACTTACGCGTGAGGCAGACTTCCAATCAGGACTCGTATTAACCCGCCCGAAAGCCGCAAGGTTCCGTTGCCCCCACACGCCCGTTCTTAAAGTCAGTTTGTCACGAAGCGCGCGTTTGAACCGACGTTGTCTCGCTATTCTTTCCGGTAAACTCGCCACGCAATAAAACGTGACGCTTTGAGTTTATCACGTTTTCATAAAATACAAGAAGTCTTCAAACAAATTGCAAGCTAAGAGTGTGTCGTGTTTCGCTTGTCGTGTTATTACCACCGCAATATTTTGCAAAATTTTGCAATTTATTTTATGCATATTCATAGTTCGTTAATTTTGTCAGCGTAATACCGCGACAACGCAGATTTATTGCGTTGTACCGATTGAAAGTTTCGATACGTATATAAACGTTTCTGAACAAGTCACACTTCTGTGAAGTGTGAGCGAGCTACATGCTGTCTCATAATAATCGCTATTGAATGTGCGAGTTTCTGAATGTTGTGTAGTATAACGCGCGTTGTGGAAATTTCCTGGAGTATTGGTAAGTCCATTGTTTAAAACAAATTTTCTCTCTCAAAAAATAATCCCATTTTCATTATAAAGGATTGCAATAATAACGTGAATTTATCAGAATATATTTTCCATAATCTATTTTCAGCACTCGATGTAATTTACTTAGAAAAATGCCATTGAAAAGTTTTTCGTCATAAAAATGCTTTAATATTAAATAATTTGATATAAATTCCATTTCTCTTTTCTCGCATGTTATCTGTTTTCGCGGTTCGTCGTTGGGACGTGAGCAAATAATAAGTTTTTGATATTTTTATTC